TAACGAGGAACGATAAGGAAGGTCTTCGATGAGTTTACTTACACCACGTGAACAAACAGTGATCTTTTCCAAGAAAGCGTGGTCATAGGTCAATTCACAAGAAGGTAACGGAAACGATTCGTTGGTAAAAACTTCACTAAAACATTCATTAAAATTGTTGGCAGTTTCAAGGTCAGTGCATCTATTTCCCTCCGCATCCGTAAAGTTAAGATCACAACTTGTTTTCGGTGGATTTATGCAACTCCAGAATTTTTTTGGATTTGACTTCAGAAGGCCATTTAGGTCATCTCTGTAGAATGTTGTTTTCGCTTTTTTTAATTTCGGAAGCACATATAGATGAATGGGAATTATACAAGTCCCAAGACAAATTCGTGTTCCTTTCCACAGCCCTGTTGTACAAGCGTTTCTTTTTGTTCAAAAGAGACTTAAGATTTTTAGAAAACCACGGACGTAAAGGGTTGTTCGGAATTTTGATTGTTGGAACGAAGTTTCTGAGGATATAATTCAGCTGATTTTTAAATGCGATCCAGTTTTCTTCAACATACCGTAGGCGGAACGACCGCTCAAAGTCATCAAAAAAGATCCTCATAGTTGTGCTTATTTCATCAGTTTTTGCCTTTGAGTAGTCGTGGATTTCTTTAAACTGGTTACGGGGGTGCTGAGTCGTCATTTCGACTTCGACTAAAACCATTTTATGATCACTAATTTCTTCAAGAACATTTACGCGCTTAATTAAGTCAGGGGCAGTCGTGAAAAATAGATCTAGAATAGAGGTACCTCGGGTAGGTTCAAGAACAACTTGAGAGAGGAAAAGTGATTTAAAAACATTCAAAAACTCTAAACACTCGGAAACATGTCTGCAGTCAGGTATTGGTTCACAAGAAATCCAGTCAATTCCTGGGTAATTAAAATCTCCTCCAAGAAAAACGGGACATCCGGGGTAACGAGAAATAACGTCATCGAGGCTAATACAAAGATCCCGGACAAAATCAGCGGTAACATGAGGCGGCTTGTGGCATACACCAACCAAGACATAAAAAAACGAAAACTTAACGCGAACCCAGAGCATTTCGAGTTCGGTTTTTAATTCGACAGGGACAGAGTGGAAACATTTTTTAACAGCGATAAGCACCCCTCCACCCTTTGAGTGCAACCGGTCTTTCCGATAAACCAGATAATCTTTATCAATAACAAGTTCACAGTTATCAATTTCACTGGAAAGCCAGGTTTCCGTTCCAAGTATGACATGCGGATTACAGATGTCGATCAAACACAAAAGGTCATCTTGCTTCGAAACAAGACTCCTAAAATTAGCAACAAGAAAAGACACAGTTCCGGGAAGGCGCTTCTTTGCGCGACGTCATGATTCAGTTGGTGTGGACAGAAAGTTTCTTCTTTCTTGTTCGATCACATCACCTGATTCGGCATTGTAAAAGAACATACGGTCGCCAACGAAAAGCTTGTCAAAAACGAGGCGCACACGCGTCTGGGACGAACGGAGGGGGCCTACCGTATTCCCATAGCATTTTTCGAGCATGACGAATGTTAGGTGAAAAGTCTTCGTCTATCCAAACACGTAAGTTCTCAAGTTGTTTCAGCTTTGACGCATTTTCAAGGATTTCCTGTTTCTTTTTAAAGCTACCGAAGTTAACAATGATCGGACGAGGGTAGTCCCCCCGCCTTCCTCCCAGACGGTGAGCGCGCTCAATTTCTCCTGCCTCAATTCCAAGGTGCGTTTGAATAAAGTTCTTCACAATTTGCTCGGACCTGTTCCACGATTCTTTGTCTTCTTCTGGAAGACCCTTAAATATCAGGTTATTCCGGCGTTGTCGGTTATCCAGCGCGTCCAGACTAGTTGGTATACTACTTAGGTGGTTACAGGTAGCGGATATCGCTTTTACTTCATTTTGCAGAGTAGCTATTTTTGCTTGGACATCGACAACGTCGTTCTGAACCCCTAACAAATCCTCTAGCCTTTTTTCTAAATGAGTCACTCTTTCATTCAGATCTTTCACCCCATCTGCAATGCTAGAGAGTTTTGTTGCGTTTTCCCGTTGGTATTGCTCAGTAGACTGAACAAGTTTTTCAAGCTTGCTCTGAAGTTTATCCAAGTCCCCGGGGCCGGGGTTCAACTCCACATCATCGGCAAGGATCAAGACATTGCACAGACACAAAGCCAATAACAATACGTGAGCTCTAGGGACAAACGCTAATGCCCGCGGAACAAAGAGATAGCGTCGACTTGAGCCGTGCGAGAGGGAGTAGGAAAAACATCCTATGCGAGCGCGATAAACGGACAGGTCAACACCCATGCCGCGAAGACAGGAAACACAGGGGATCTGCAGCCTTACATTACAGTTTGACTAACTAGAATAGTAGGACAGAGTTCTCACCTGCAAGGTCAGAAAGGAAAGGTTTAGCCGCTCAGCCTACCAGGCCGCAAATCCCAGTGAACTATGGTGCGATAGTCCTTTTTGTAGAACTGGTTGATGACGTAGGTGCAGATAAACCGAAGGACGATGCAGTGAAGCAGAAGCAGATCGGTGCCGGCGTTCTCTCTTCTTGCGAAGCCGTTCGAAACGACGACGAACGAGTAGTCTTGTGGGTTGTGACCAACACCGCGCCGGCAGCCGCGCTCTGCTAGCTCGGTCTTCGAAGAATACTGCAAGATCAGACAGGAAAGGTTTAGCCGCTCAGCCTACCAGGCCGCAAATCCCGCAATTCAGTGAAACCACAGTAAATCAAAACATACTCGGATAGAGTGAGTTTGTTTTTGTCAAAAAACAACAGAGTTGGAATGTGGTATTTTGACATAGTTGGGGGTAGCGTGCTAATGCTCGTGGCTTCGGCTTTTCTAGCACTTCTGGGAAACTGAAATTGGCTTCTGGATATGTCCAGCGGCCACGGGTTAACGTGACCACACGCTAGTTTACGAAGGTTTTTTTTTTGTATGTACACTTTTCCAACGCGCCCAGACAAAAAAGGTTGAGGCAGAGGGGTATGGGCACAGGCACGGTCATCGGATGTGGCGAGGAAGAGAGCTACTGCACATGCCCAAAACCTGTCAGATAACAGCGTGCGGGAGTAAAATCTTGCATTTTCAAAATTTTCCTAATGCACGTTTCGCCGCTATACAGCTGCATGTCTCAACGCGGCTGCGTGTCAGACAGGAATATGGCTATCGATGCACGTTAAGAAACGGGCTGTTTCTGCAGTGCTTCGCTGCAGACTACGTCGACCATTTGGACGTCTCTTCCCTGAAGGCCGCTGATTAAATTCAGAGAAACCTCGTTCTTTCACATAGCCCTTGGTGGTAGAACAATAAACCCAGCCAACACCAGCTAGAATAATCAAAGTCTCCGAATCGCCTCCTCTTCATTCACGAAACGCCATCACAGTCAGATTGCGCTAACTCGTCTATTGGGCCCGAGTCCGACATTCGACGCGTTGATTGGATACGAGCCCCGGCCGGACACTGACGGAGCACTCGTGCCCAATCTCAGGCCTCTTTGGATCTGACTGTGACAACTGTGCAGAGGCCTTCTGCTTAGTTAGGTGGTGTTGACCCAGCGTGTTTCCCTGTTCCTAGCCAAACTTTTTTTTTTCTATTTCTAACGGCGTCTGAAGCACGACGAAACCCGCTGAGCCTTAGTGGGGCGCCACTTTTACTCAGCAGTGTCTTCTTCACTTCGATCTTTTTTCTTGAGAGGCATTGTGAAGATGACCAGAGAACATCCATCCAGTTTGTCTTTTTTATAGGATGGATGAATGAATGGCAAGTGTTGGCTATACCCTTTGTATCGGGCGTCAGCTTGCGCCATCTGGCTAGAAAGAGTGACTCCTTCTCCCACTGAAATTCTGCTCTAAATTCTGTCTCTCGTTAAATCATTTACCTTACCCATTTTGTGTGATCACTCTTCTTTCGACCTTGTCCGACAACATTTAACCTTTTTTTTCTTCCGAATTTTATATTTTGTTCTTTCGTTATTTTCTCCTCGCCACCAAAAGACAGGTCTCCCACTGAACTCCGTAACTTTCTCAGAGACGCGGGCCGTAGCCCCAAATGTTTTTGCCATTACCAATGCCGCTCTTGCCTCAAACGGGAAAGATATTCCCCGTGAATTATCCTTTCTTACGTCCTCTTTTTGTAACCTTGCCAATATTCATCTCTCTTGCATTCTTTCTCCCAGATTTTTTTCTCCAGTTTTTCCCTCTCCTGTTTGCTCAGCCCCAGTCGGTATCTATTTACATTTTTACGCTTAGATTCGGTTCGTACATTCTGTGTCTACATTGTTTGCATTTATAATTGCCTGTACACTTTCCGTGCCTACCAGGTATCCTACACTTCCGTTAAACTTTGTTCAAATTTCCATGTACGGATTGACGTTTGCTTTCGAAGGGCAACCTGACGATGTTTCTCTGAACCTTTGGTGTTTCCATATACCAGGCAGTGCCAATATGTTCACTGCCTTTTGTTGAATTTCTAATCCAGATAAAATTTCTGACCCCACCGGCGAATGATGGTTCAGAAACCGTCCCTCTCTTTCATATATACCCCTGTCCCCTTTATACCTATTGTAATTCCACAGTGCCTGAAGCTTCATGAGCGCAGAATTTATTTTCACTTTCCTACTTATATTTCCTTCGTGTTAAACTAAACACAGATATGCTGCCGGTGTATATACAAAGGGGTTGAATCGGAGAAGCATTGGGCAGCTTTCACCAACGGATCAGAGAGGGGTAGGAGTGCGTCGCCCGAGAGACATCGATGGAACGGATAGACCCTAGCGAATCTCTTAGGAACCTCGCCATGATCCGACGGGCAAACGGCGTTCAATAGAAAAGGAGCTAGCGAGGGAGGAAAACAACGTTAGCGAAAGTGGAGGGCGAATTGTACACTGCCGAGAAAAACATTGAGCAAACAGGAAATGATTCAGCGCGTCCTATCCTCGGGGGCGTCCCACCGCCTCCTCTGACTTTCGGTCTCCTCGTTGCTCCAGGTGGCTTGGCCGTGGCGGTCCCAGGGGCGCTCCGAGGATACAGGGCGCTCTTGGATACCTTCGGAACATCACTCGAGTGGTCCGTTCTCTTCGAAGACGCTATTCGACTCGCCAGGAACGGTTTCCCCCTGGGCTTCTTTCAAGCCGACGCTCTGAAATCGCTGGAGCAAGACATCTTTACAAATGAGAACATGAGGTAAGAGTTCGCCGCAGTTTTGTCGTTCTCGCTCGATACGCGTGCGGGTGGATCATGAGCGGAACCGAAGCTGGTAAAAGTGGCACCGAGATCCTTCGCCATAAGAAAGCTTTAAGCTAAGCTTCAGTTAGGCTACGAAGAAACCTAGCCCAACTTTTTCTATCCTGCGGCCCAATTAAACTAAAAAAATGTCGCGTCGCGACCCCTATTTTCTGCAAGGACGCCAGCTATTCAAACTCGATGCATGAAGAGTAATACACAAACCGGACGCCGAAATTTGTTTCTGACCGCTAATATAGTCAAAGTGAATCAACTAGGTTAAGAAACATTGCAAGCGAAAAAAAGAAAACCCGTGCCAGCATGGACAACTGTTCCTAATGACTAAAGTGAGCTTGCTAGTTACGGCGCATCTAGTTACGGCGCGGCGCATAAATGAACCCGAAGCCGAATCTTGAAGCGCAGCGAACACGTAGCGATGAACGACACGTGCAGTTCTTGCACGGGCGGGCGCGCGGGGCAGCCACCCCCGAAGCGCGGAGGTATTCAGCACAGGTTATTGTTGATAGCTACTACCACCCTTCAATTTATGATGGAACAGAGTGAAGTATGTGCCCTGATGGAACAAAGAAAGCGATGACATGCCTTTAACGAAGTCGTCTTCGTTCATGGCTGTAATCCCCAAGAAATGGCTGCCGAGAGTTTCTGTTCGGTTCAGCTCCCGACTTCACCTCCAATAGACCTGTTGCTAAATTACCCAAGCATCAAGGAGAGTGCAGGGATTGGGGTTCCACGTGCCGCAGGTGCTGGCGTCAGCAGTAGTAACTTTTCTGAAGCAAATACATAAAACAAATGGCATCTTGCACGCGCGTTCGTCAGCGCTTTATTTTGGTGATTTACTTCGAAACTTTTATACAGGAAAGGCGTGCGCGTGTGGCGCGTGGAACACCAATCCCTGCATTCTCCTTGGTGCACATGGTCTATTGCGTGACGGGTAGTCTAGCTACTCCCCAACACATCCTCTAAAGGGCGCAACTAGTGGCAAAGAGTGAGCTCAAACTCTCTTTCGCAGATGGCGAGTGCATCAACAAGGGGCTATGGTGTGAATGGCTGCTGATAACCCTTTTTACACCTTTTGCTCTGTTGAGTTTGCGTGAACAAGTCTTGCGTGTATGCGTGCACCTCTCAAAGTAAAACTTAGCGACGTTTTCATACCAACTTTGCTATGCGAAGACGGTAGCTATCAAACTGGACGTGTGCTGATTCTTCGTTTTTTTTTTAAATCGAGTTCTTGCGCGTGAGCAAAACACAGCTCGAAAGAAGCGCGGTTTTGTTTGAGTAATTACCTACCTGTGGCAGGAAGTTCCCAACACAGCGTGAGTATAACTTTAGTATTTTTGTTGCCGCCCAGGAATGTGTACTGGAACACACATACGAACACAACGTACAAGGAAGGCGAAACGTTGGTTCAGAAGGACCTGGCCGACACTCTGGAAAATATCGCCAAGCAAGGAGTAGACTACTTCTACGAGGGAGAGTTCGCTCAAGGAATGATAGAGGAAATCCAGAAACAAAGTAAGTAACTCAACCAATAAATCAATGCCTTTACTATGCCAACAATTTAAGATAAAGATACTTAACTCGTCAGCCTGTTGTCGCAACTAATCTGAGACAAACTGTCCTTCGTGCCGTTGGCAGGCAAATGTTTTCGGATTAAAAATGAATAAATAAGACAGTTACTGAGCGGTCAATGATGCTAGACAGGTTAATAAACACGTAAAAATAGTGAATCTAAGTACTTGAAGCTTGCAGCAACTTTTTTCGACTTTTTTTTGTGATTTTTAAATCCAAAATAAATCAGGAATTGGAAAAGACTGGTCAAGTACAGGCAAAGACAGGAATGATGGCGGGTCTAAGTTGGCACACGAACAACATGGGACTCGCTTTATGAAAGCGGTAACTTTATATGGCCAAGCAACCTGAGGAGCTGCGCACGCACGAAATCTGCAGGTCGGTCCGTCCGTTACCGCTCACCGATGCTGAAAAAATTGCAACCGTTGCCATGGATCGCACCCCAGTAACCGGCGTGGAAGACGAGCGTGCTGCTCACTGAGCTACGGACCCCATTTTCTTTTTATTGGAGCTAAGGACCCAGCACGCGAAAATGGGAGGCGCAGAAGTAGGCGGTGTGAGAAATGACGCGGAGCAAAGAGGGGCGGGAAGGACAAGAAAGCGAGGAGCAGAAGCAGGTGGTGTAAAAAGAGTGCACAGATCGAGGAGTGGAGAAGGCAGGAATGCGCGCTTCCCCTCTTTTTGCGTCCCAGCAAATTCAGCGCAAAGGCCTCGTGACCGGGTGGTGGTGAAGGAAAGCGCGCGCAGCGTCACAAAGAAACACTAGTGGAACGTATTCTTTTTCACGCAAAGCACTGTCCTAGGCACACGTAAACTAAGAGCACCACTCACCCCGTCCACTGAAAGACTCTCTCCAAGCACCCCACGAACTAACAGCACCACACATCCTATGAAGCTACAACATTTAAACGCGGTTTTTATTACATATATTTGACTGCGGTTTTTATCCTAGGAGGGAAGGATACCAAGAAGAAAGCCCCTCTGGTGAAGCTCGGTGCTGTATCTGAGCCATTAATGCAATCCTTTTTGTAATGGGAACCCGGGAAAGAGCAGCCCCTTCTTGAAACCTCCAAACATTCGTTCGAAAAAAACGCACTGCCAAGCCGACTACGAGACAATGCCTTTTTGCATGCGGCTCGAAGAAAGGCCTCGGCTGATAGTTTGGAGGAGGAAGACAATCTCTATCAATGACATCGTGGCAATTTCGCTACGATTAAGGTTATTCTGATTTGGTAACCGCAGATATCACAAAGGCTGATGAAAATAATCCCTGGAGAAGGGGAAGAGGAACAAAGGACCAACATAAATCTCCAAACACAGCTAGGTGACTGGTGAGCGACCGAAAAATCCGCCTGGTCCGGGTATCGAACCCGGGACCTCTCCATTGGAGGAGGAGCGCTCTACCAACTGAGCTAACCAGGGGTTAGACGTCAGTAGAGCAAGCGGGTTTTATCAGCTGCCACTACTCTAACACCAACAAAGGCGAAGCTTGCAATTTATGGTTATTATTAAATGCAATTAAATGCAAAGGTGCAAGCGCTTGCACCTTTGCATTTAATTGCATTTAATAATATCACAAATGCCTTTTTTTTAAAGAGCGACTAATTTGTAATTAGCCGTCAATTTTATTTTACGTAAAAAGGTGTCATTTCCACTCTAATGTCTGGATAGGATATTTCAAAAATACAACCCAAAAAGCTTCCTGTTTAATTTTACTGAATATCGAAATTTTGTGCTTGCATTTATCTTTTTTTTCCCGGCCAATAAAAATATTACCCCAGAAAAAAAAAAAGTTTGGCTTTAATTATTTGTAGTACACGATCTAGCGCCCTGGTTTACACACTTGCGTCGGTTGCGTTCGCAGCAGCCGAAACGACGACAAAGTGACCGGGACCAGTGTGTGCCGTTCACAACGTCGCAAGCGATGCGAGCCTCGCCAATAGAATCCATCCGGGGTTTTGGTCGCTTCTGTCGTTTTTTTCTTAATGCAATAGTATTTTAAAGCGAGAGCATCCTATGTAGTCTGCTGATTTTTCTTATTGTCAATGTCGCCTCGAAGCAGTCACGAAGTTCATCTTGAAAAGCATCAATATTTCCCGAGGGGGCTCTACATACTGCCAATACTGAGAAGATAAAATCAGGTTTATTATTCTCAAACGCCATTGACTCACTATGACTTAAGAGCACAGGCAGTTTTAAGACGAACGCCGTATATGCCCCATTACGCAAAAAGGCGGTGTCGGTGTTGCGCGCGAAGATGGCCATAAAAATACGACATCAAGCACGCGCCGCTCAAGGTCAAAGCGGACGTGCCTCAGAAATAAAACGCAAAGAAAAGCGCAGCTTTTCTAAGCTGTGCTTAGCAAGTAAGCCCGGCCTGACGCATTCGTTCGAGTATACTCGGAGATGTATAAAGTGTTCCTGAATGTTCGTGAAAACACGGCCACGTCATGCATGTACGCCATGCCGAATTCATATTGTGCGTCACCGAGAACAACGTCCATTAAGCGCACGAAGCTGGCGGGTGAATTGGACAACCCAAGTAGAAGGCGAGTGAATTCTGACAATCATCTATGGCAAATATATGCCGTCTTTTGCACGTCAGCCGACTGCACTTCGATTTGAAGGAATCCCCGCTGCAGTCGAGGGTTGTGAAATCAGTCGCCTTTACAAGGCCGTAAATAACCGAGGAAATACTCGGGAAAGGATAACTGTCTCTGATCGATACTTCGTTTAGTCGCCTATAGCCTACACACAGTCTGGCCGTGCCATCCTCTTTTGGAGCAAGGACTACCGGTGAGGGCTTTTAGAGTCACGTACTGCACCCGTGTCGATCCCTTCCTTGAGCACCGCACCTAGAAGTTCGCGGTTGTGGGCACTTGAGGATCTCGGGTTGCACCTTCGGGGCGGTGCAGCCTTGGTTTCGATACCATGACGCAGAAGATAAGTTTTCCCCGTCCTTTCCGCAGACATCGGCGAGAGTGGCTCCAATAGACGTTCCAGCCGCTGGTTCTGGCCGCTGCTACGGGTTGCACGGCCTTGTGCGCGCTGTCTCGAAGTAAAGAAACTTGCCCCGCAAAGTTTGCCGGAATTGTCTGACCAAGAATGTAATCCTCGCGTCTCGTAAATTGCGTTAGCCCAATTTCGTCTCTCAACCGATAGCCAATTCTAGCAAAATCGATTCGGCACGGTAAAACCTCTTCCAAAGATAATCTGCACTGGTAGCCCGGGCAGGTACACGAGGCGTTGCCATCTCTTTCTGCCACGGAAGGATATTCGCAATCGCACAGCAGCGACAGCAGCTAGTACAGATCCCGTCGCCATGTGAAAATGTACATGTCCCGTCCGAGGATTTACGTTTTTCGTTTTACACAAGTTGAATACGATATCCCCAATTAGCGATATGTTTGCGCCTGCATCTAGAAGCGCGGATATTGGGGCATTTAGCACATTCACGGTCATGCGTGGTTTAACAGATTTGGGAGTGGATTTGGCTCAACGTACCGCTGGGACGAGCCAGCTGGTGATTCCGGCTCACGAGGTGTCGTAGCCCACGGCGGCTGGCGCCAATCTCTGGGTGCTCGACCATCTAGGGTGATCATCTTTGGCATTGAGAGCTTCGAGACGCCGGTGTCTTTTGGAATCATGCCGGGACTGGGCCGCCCGGCATTCCTTGGGAACGGGACCGCGTTAGGGTCCAACGCAAAGGTGTTTGCACCGGAGTTCAATGCCGTGGCGGTCCAGCCGGCTATCCTATGACCGAGGTTCTACTGCCTTCGCCTCCCGGGGCTCGACGCCATAGCGAACCGACCGGGTATCTCTTATCCACCTCTTTAAATAACCCACGCGCGCGGGCAAAACTAATTTTGCATTTTTTTACTCCAGGCGTAAAAGGACACAACTGCCAGAATTATTTTCCCGAAGTCCGAAAATTGTTGCACGGCCCCTTTAACCCCGCAACTCGTGTCGACCGATGTTTAACCTTTTTGATATCTAATCACCTCCTTTTATTTGCTCACCGGTTACTAAAACATATTTTCCCTCTTGACCCTATCCCAAAATTAGGTTTGGTTTTTGGCACTCTATAGTCTAAGAGGCTTATACGTCATGAAGGCCATATCGAGACCAAACCTTACCTTGGTTTTCGAATCTTCCGGACTGTCTACTGCCTGGTGGTACACTCGAAGCATCGAGAGGTGATCATCCTTTAGAAAATATCTGACACTCGGAACATTATACGGACAGTGTAGGAAGGGAAGGGAGATATTTCAGCTGTCTCACGTCCAGCCGTCTAGCACCAGCTCCCTTCTTCATCGTCAAGGGGCAGCCAAGACACGACGGGAGGAAACGAGTGCTTGCTGGAGGTTCTTTCGCTGCACTGTTAGCTATTGGCAAAAAAAAAAAAACGATCAAAATCTAGCAAATACTTTAAGTTGAACACAGCACAGAGAGCTGCGAGGTCAGAAACTCGGGAAGGCACTCCAGTTCCTGTAGTCCGCGCCACTGAGCGTTTAAACCGTGTTTTTCTTAAACGTGTTTCCTGAGTTTTGGGAGTCCTAAAACGTACATTTTGAATTCGACTCTTTTTTCCCAGTCGGCTCGTTATGCTTCTCAAGTAGACAGTCTTTAAGTCTTCATCGAACAAGATTCAGTAAAAGAGCCCCGAGTGACTGGTTTTGCGACCGGCGTTTTTCTAGTAATAAAATGGCCGAATGTTAGCTATGAGCCTTTTTTCCTCAATTGTAGAGTTGCTCTGCATTCTACATTGGCAAAATACCGATGTCAATGAATGGTTCGTCGGAGGCTTTTTCTTCCTTCTCGATGACTACTTCAAAGAAAGGCAGGGATTCCAGCACTTTGATGACGGCCGTCGTCCGAAGAACGAAGCAAGAAGCGTGGACTGTGGATTTCTTCGGGTGGTTTTGACTATGGTCAGATATAAGGCAATGACAAGGCCGATGGGTGTCATGGACCACCGATACACTTGAACCACTATTGGTTCGGGACACGACTCGCCCTTCTGAATCGAATAAAGGAACATCAATGATCGACACGGGATTCAGGGTGAGGTATAGACAACGCTCGATGTGCAGCGTGCCGCGGCGCATTGAGCAAAAAGCCGAGCTTTGCTTTGAGGTGAATTCATCTTGGGTGAAAGGGACCAACGGAAGCTTTTTTTTTTCTGTGTAAAAAATAACGTATTCGTGCTGAGTGGCGTAGTGACGCCATTTGTCGCTGGGAAATCGGGGGAGGGGAAGCCGCATACGCTATAGCGTACAATACTTTCTCTTATCATAGGATAGGCCGCATGGAAAGCTACGTGCCCCCAGGTTCGACCATGAGCGAGTTAGTAGCCACGGGATATATTTCTTCGACGTGCTATCAGTGTGCGTGGATCGGCATACTGATGCGACTTTCGGAGAAGTATTTACCTGCGAACGATCGTGTAAATGTGAAAAAACAAACAAAACAACAGTGGCTTTGTTTGACACCTTGCATATGGTTGTCCGTTTTTGTATGTTCTCAGTGTCGGATTTATAATCGTGGGATAAATGTAAATTTTGTGTTCAACTGGTCCGTGGTTTTACCTGGCATTTCGTAGCTTTGGCTGCTGTACATTTTATAATAACACCAAGTATGGTGATTTTACATTACTAAGATTCCACCACAATTACTATTCTATTGCGTGTATGGCTAGACTGTGTGGTGCTCGTTTGCCCGAAGTGCTGTTTCGTGCCTCCGCTGCAATAACCGATCTGGCCAGTGATGTAGGATTGCTGACCCGGGATTTTTCACGTTCATCACGGAGTAGTGGTGCACGACCGCACGCTGGTACGACGTTGATCCAGGTCGAAACGAACGGGGCTGGAGATGGAACATCGTGCGTTCTGTAGCGCGAGCGTTCGCTCCCCGTTAACAATCTGGGTTCACCGCACTTTCGTTATTTCCAGAAGGACTGATGACGACGGCAGATCTCAGCTCCTACAAGGTGGTGTGGAACCGGACCATGACGGCCAGGTTCTCTGGCGGACGCGTGTTGCATTCGGTGCCGCCCCCAGGCAGTGGGGCAGTGCTCGCCCACATCCTGGGCATCATGGACGGATACCGAGACAACGCCACTGGGAGGCTGGCGGACGACTCGCTCACCGCGCACAGGTGAAACACGCGCCAAAGAACCGGCCAACAAAAGCTGCTCGACACATCTGGAGTGCCCTGGTGTTCCATGGTTTACCCCAGCACAGATTGAACACGAGTGTTGTGTTCAGCTGAGGCTGAATTCGTAAAGCACTCGGGCTTATTAGACGAGCTAATTTTATGCCTTCAGGGATCTGTCCCTTAGCTGAATCTACATACAACATCGTTGTCAGTTTGTCAAGCATAAAATTGCCCCAGATATGCCCCGGGGCAATATTCTCGTGGCCTGCGATTACCCCAATGCTGCGGAAAACATTGCTAGTAGAGTATGCTCGCGGATTCCAGTTACCATAGTATTTTAGAATCAGATATGTTTTTATTAAAGAGTACACAGTTCCTAAAAAAAAAAAGAGGCGAATTATGAATAGTTATAGACTGCTAGATGTTCGGGAATTTAACAATTATTGCGTGGGTAACGGTGTTCAAATATACGTTGGATTCGAGTATATACCATTAAGGATGTTTCGTTTTTTTTAATATGAACTTAACAGATTAAAAATTGTCGTGAGGGCTACACTAATGAAATTGGTACAGGTGGGGTGTGTGGCAAAGGAGACATAATAATAAACGCACTGGCAGAATTAAAAAAAGAAAAAGAACTTGGTTCACAATTTGGCTAAAACCAAACAAATATACTTTTCGATGAAAATTTTGAAAATCCCTTTTGAGTACGCTTTTAACAAATGCTTGATTTGCAGCGTTTGAATTGTACGAGATATGGGCGTTTTATTACATACTGAAATTAAATATTCTGAGTAGATGACTTAATTGAGCAATACATGTTACCGAACATAGCTGTCGATGAGCATAATAACTCGCCAGTGTAAGAATTATTCTTGCTTCCTACATCGGTATCGATCACTTATCTTGCCTGTATTAAAGCTCTTTAGTGTGATTTGTAACTTGTAGAATAAGGCTAACAAAAATTAAGTTGAAGGTGTACAGAAAAAGTTTGTTCGACTGCTTCACGATTGTCATCTTAATTGGCGGATTTATTTTAGTCATGAGCATCTGTTGAAACTTTTGAACTTGCATTAGCTCCTCGAAAGGAGGCAGGCACCGGATTTCTCCCCTTTTCAGAAATGTCTCCAAGGTTTCATTAACCGTCTAAAACTAACCTCTTTGTTTCTATTGCTGTAAGTAACACGCCTCTTCCCAGTTCACCGTGTAGTTGGTTGCGCAGAGTCGAAAAACATCGGACCCTGGGACATACCTAGTATGCGTTTAATACGTCGGCTGTGGTAAAAAATTCGGAGGTAGATACATTTTGGAGTGAACATTTTGCGATACAATTTAGGCTAAACCTTTTTTGAATTTGCCAGTACTGTTATGTAGAAAACTGCTGCGTGAAATTTCCTTATTTAGGTTTTCGTGTCTTAACAGTTTATACCAGACCGTATGTAATTGCGAGTATTGTTTTATCAACTCTGTTGAGTGCAATTTCCTTTTACACTGACTAGATACGTTCTAGCATACTCCGCAAACGCTGCCAGTAACGTTGTTTTTTTTTTTTTTATTTCGTTTACGTTGTGTCAAATATATTTTTTTTTTAATTTACATTTACTTTATGATTAAAAAAACAGCGCGCAAACAGCGCGCATGTCGTCAAAATACCACTTGGCCCAATTCACCAGTCTGCTACAATTGCTCTTTATTGTTTCTGCAACGAGCGTTCTGCGTCAATGCGATATGTTTGTGACAGTCGCTACACCCTTCCATAGGCCCACGGGCTGTGTAGGAGCACCAGAAGTCAAATAAATAAATAATATAGGAGGCTAATCATCGCCGTGAGTAAAATAATTAACTAATATGTGTTCAATATTTTTTGATTATCGAGAAAAAACACGGCTTCAATAAGAAACTTGCTGAGCGTCCATGAAAACCGTTATATAAGAAATTTCTAGAAAGGCTTTGAGCGCGTGGTAAGCGCAGTAGTGAGTTCCCACTGGTGCAGCAGGCACGATGCGGGGGCTATGATACGAGACAGAAAACCCGCGCACTTTAGCACTAGACCGTGCTTCCTACGTGCTCCGAGTCGTTCTAATATTCACTCATGAAGTGTTTTCTGATCGCGCTCAGGGAGTTTATAATTAGAACCATATATGTTTATTTGAAATAAATGAAGCGTAAATTTACATATTTTAGCCTATACACCAACTGATCGTTACGATTATACCATGGTACCATGTTCCCCTGGCCGTATAACTCACCTGCACAAACCGAAAACCGCACCTGCACAAGTACCTTGTATATATTTTTGCATCTTTTTCCGCGAAAATCGACGTGTCGGACCGACAAACAAAGCGGACAACGCAGATAGAAAGATAGATTGCGTAACTTATGAAAGAAAGACAAAAGCAATGGGGAAGGACAAAACGCATCTTCGCCCGTCAGCTTTCATCCTCTGTCCGGTGCCTGGACTTGGCGACAATCGTCGTGGTCTGCTTTTGCAAGCGAACTAGTTTCAGCAGATTTCCCCTGGAAGCTCGTCGGCGGGAATCGACGATGTGACCACTATGCCGCCGGAAAGTGCGAATGTAGTCCATCCCGCTCGAAATAGACAGCGGGTGACGATAGAATGTTGCATTTGAATTCCAACGTACGTTCCGTGTCTTGGCCCACCGTGACCAGGTTTGTGGAGTCGTGCAAATTCGCCTACGCCAAGAGGAGTCAGCTAGGGGACTCGGCCTTCGTCGACGTCACAAAGGTGAGACGCAGAATATGTCGGAAATATATAGAGAGAAAAATAGAAAAGAATTGTAGAGGTCGTCAGAGAAGTAGGGTTGAATTGGTTCACATGAGAAGGAGGCGAAGCGAAGAGGGAAGGAAGCATCGTGATTAATTTTCAGTGATCACAAGCGATAGTCGACGAGATGTAAGAGGTTTAAATAAAATTGTATTTATCCACGGCGAACACTGCTTCAAATTAACTTTGCTCTACTTCAGACGTACAAAATTCGACAGATGAAACATCTGAATAGGTTGCTTACTATTCGGGGCCACCTGATTCCTCGAAATTCTTTATGCCTCCACCGGTGAAAGCCTTTTCTACAGTTTCCATCTTCCACTGTTGTCTAAAATGACTAACTCTTGACCGGTCCTTTTAAACTTTGTCCAGAACCCATTCAAGGTGCTTGCCTATCTATAGAAGGTGATCTACGAAAGTGGGGTACAATTATGCAAACCCGTGTGTCGAAACATGTGTTGGTATCTTGCCCGTTAGGCAATAGGCTGAGATGTTTTTGGTTCCTGGGTAGATTATGGGAACTGCTGATATCGACCGAGCATCGAACTGATATCGACCGAGCTTCCAGAACTGCATCAATGCAGTTCTGGAAGCTCGGTCGATATTTTTCTTCTCTGACACAGTTTTAGTTTCTTCTTAATTTTTCGCAGACCGAAAAACAGCTTCCGTGACCTCAAAAAAAGGTTCGACTATAACTGCCAACGGTATTTTATATGTAAAAATAGTCGAACGGTCGTTATTCTGAAGCGTATATCTAGTCGGACGGCCTCCACCAGCAAGATTGCCAGAGGTCGTACTTGCAAACCTGTAGATTCGGAGGGGTGGATGTCGGAAGACGGCCATTGAATGAAGCAAAAAGGGAGCCGCGCAAAATGTAACCAGACTCGTCTAACAGTTTCTCGCTCACGTGGCCGCAGTTGGTGGACCAAATGACGTCAAGCGACTACGCGGACAGAACGCGGAAGAAGATTCGAGATGACAAGACTTTCGGCCCGTCCTACTACAGCGGTCTGGGCGCCTTCAGGCAGGACCATGGGACGTCACACCTGTCCCTGCTGGATGAGAACGGGGACGCCATCGCTGTCACCGCCACCATCAACACATAGTACGTGACCTTTCGGTATTCTCTCTCCGCCGTACATTTCACTGCAGCCAAAGCTAGAAGCACGAGCATCTCCCTTTCAGTTGCACGTAGACAGTACGAACGCTCGTCCCCGGAATCAACAATGACCGCTCGCGCCTGTAGCCTCTATGGCTCCTCATTTTACGTTACAACGTCCGACTCCTGCATGTACAAGCTCTATTTGTCTGCCTTCACACTTCGCTTGTGTCGCCATGGCAGCTTCTGTATCCACTTTTCAGCTATGCAAGGGCCTCGAGGTACTGGGCTCGGCGAAAATGCCGTAGCTTGCTCGAAAGGGCTTCCGGTCGGGACGGTGAAAATGATATTTATGTAATTATTTATTTATTTGGTTCTTCGTGCCTCAAAACGACCGAAATCATTGAATAAGAAACATAAGTACTAACTATAGCATGCTCGCAAACAGTTATGCATCTGTGACGACATGCATATATCCACGCATACGATCTTATAAAAAAGGTGTAAAAACGATATGGTAGCTATGTGTACAATAGCGAGTCTGCTTCACGCTTAAAATGTTTGCAGTTAACAATATTATCTATTGAGTTAGTCGACATGCCATTAAAAGTAAGTTGCAAACTAGTAATGACACAGCTTCTTCCGATGAAAAGGATAAAATGGACAGACATATCCACTACCACGGATAGGTGCGTGGAAGTTCACAGAAAATATAGCACAATCAAGTTGACCGTGAATCCTCATATTAAAAAAATAATACGTCTCGCACGACTCTTCTGCTTGGCAAAGTTTGAAAGTTGAGATTTCTAAGAATGCAGGTATAATCATAAAACACTTTCTATGAAAATACCGATCATAAATCATACTAATGAGCATCTTCTGAACATGTTCAATTTGTTTTAATTCAGATAATGTAAGATGGTTCTAAACAACACCGGCGAAGTCAATCCTGCAACGAATGAGGCAACAGAAAGACTAATAATAGACAAGGAATTGCTAAACTCCTTCGTCAAATGACGAATCATGCCCAACTCTTTAAATTAGAGGTAACAATCTGGAGTACATAAAAAGAAAGATGGCTATAAAAAAGAACAGGTCACGGAATGTAGTGACGCGTAAAAAAGGAGTGGTACCGAGAACGTAGTCATCAGAAACCTGTTGACGTAGTCAATACATTGATAATACCTTGTTTTTATTAGGATTGAGCATTAAATGATTGGATAAACACCACTCGTGGACACGTGACGCATAATTCTGTAAATATCCACAGTCAGCGAGCCACCCGACGTGTCAAGAAAGCTTCAGATCAGCAGCGCATAACTACTTAGACTTTTTTATGCATATTTCAATATCGTCATTAAAATAATAAACAATAGGGGTCCCAAATTAGTACCCTGGAAGACACCAGACGAAGGAACAAAAGGTTTTGAGAAGCTGTTTAAACTTCGCAGACTGCTTCTTCAATTTTTTTAGACAAGACTGAAACCATCTAGGTAAGCATAGAAGAAACACCATATAAGCAACTCATGGTTTACTCTATCGAAAGCCTTTGACATGTCGAAGTAAACTGTGTTGACATGACCACGGGGGAGAATAAAGGGCACAAATCAATGAACACATAAACAAAGGTTAGTTTCCACAGAACGACCTTTCAGGAAGCCATGCTGACGAGTACTTTTCTTCTATAACTCCCATCAAGAGGAAAGACATAAACCTCTTTCTCATCCGACGACAACTGGACCACCTGTTTCTTGAGGTGTTCCAGGCCCTGGATATTTTGGCCAGGGACACCGCTTCCACGTGCTCTCGGACGAAAGAACTGGTGCATGCAAGGAAGCTGGCTGCACTTCAGCCGGACAACTCAGCCTTCAGCCTTCGCGGACTCGATACAAAGTTTGTATGCAATCTCTCATCGAGAGAGCTCTCACGCTCAGAGACATTGGTACTGGCAAGAGGCCGGGGTTTCAATTTAACCACTCGCAAGCTCTCCCGTCCCCGGTATGGTTGCGTTCATCTAAGACGGTCTTAACGGGGTAGACCCGTCTGCTCGCGAAAAGGGTCGGTTGAAAACCATCGGTTTCATACCTCAGGCAGTCCAGCGGAAACCTCTTAACATTTCGGCAGAGAAAAATTGGGCCTTGCGTCGCCTCAAGAAAGGCAAAAACATCGTAGTGTTGCGGGCAGACAAGGGAAACGTTACCGTCGTCATGGACATAGAGAAGTACAACCAAAAGATGCTTTAGCTTTTTGACAGCAATGCCTACACTTCCTGGCCAATAGATCCTATAAGAAAGGTGAAAGAAACGCTCAATAAAACACTGGCAGTCAACTTCCAGAAATACCCAGACTTTAGCAGCCTTTCCATGACGATCATTTTTAGGGATCAATTCATCCCGGCGTTGTACGTCTCCCCAACATACTCAAGGCCGGTGTATTTCTCCTTATCATTTTTATACCTTCCTCCAAGTTGATTTTGACGACTTGGACGCCGGGGCCTCGGCAAAATATCTTTTTACCATTGTTTTCCCAAGCAAACTGATAGTCTGTTTCAGTAGCTTCCGACCACATCAGACAGAAAAGATTCTGTTTCTGTGCTGTGGGGTTTTCATTTAGTAAACTTTTCGCCTTAATTTTTTTCATATCCCGCTTTTTTGAGCTAAGAGTCTCTTGTTTCGCTCAATGTCCAGCGTACAAGGACGGGGGCAGGCGTGTCAGATCGCTAGGGAAGTCAATGAATGGCTTCGGCCTCCGTTCCATGAAGCTGTGGATGTTCGAGGTCATTTTCCAGGTGGCTGAGCTTGCTAAGCAGACATTCGTTTACATGTGTATTTTTCAAGTTTGGTCGCCTGCTATATTGTTCTAGATAATTTACTTATTGTCTTAGTTTAACAATATGTTGGTCGTTTACTTTCACCCGGAGTCATTTCACGCGCTTCTTCAGACCGGCCATCTCCTCACTTCGCACCTTCATCTGCTCCATCACTTCATCATACTTCAGCGAACATTCCTGTAAGTTATACATGATGATTGAAACCTGAGACTGTGGTTTTAAAAACGGAAACTCGTGAGGTAGGAAGAAAAAGGGACAGACAACGTCTCAAACTCAGCTAAAACTTTATTGCCTCTAGGCCTTATATACACCTTCCCCGAACGTCGAGCGTCGCCACCACCACAACGGTTGATCTCTGAACAATGCACCAGAATCACAATACACCGAACCTTAAACAATACATAAAAAAAGCAAAAGAAAAGCGTGTCCTATCGTTTCCATCTTCACCCAGTACACAGGGTCCAATACAAACAGAAACACAAGGTCGTCACCACCGCACCCGGAAAACACAATGACCGTTTCAAACCTACCCCCCGTCGTCGTCCGCGTTGAAGTCCTTCCGGGTGCGGTGGCGACGACCTTGTGTTTCTGTTAGTATTGGACCCCGTGTACTGGGTGAATATGGAAACGATAGGGCACGCTTCTCTTTTGTATTGTTGTTTAAGGTATTGTGTATTTTATGTATGTATGTATGTATTGTAATGTATTATTTAAGGTTCGGTGTATTGTGATTTTGGTGAATTGTTTGTAGTTGGGTGATCAACCGTTGTGGTGGTGGCGACGTTCGGGAAAGGTGTATATAAGGCGTAGCGGCAATAAAGTTTTTAGCTGAGTTTGAGACATTGTCTGACCCTTTTTCTTTCTCCTCCACGAGTTTCCGTTTTTCAAACCACAGTCTCAGGTTTTCAATCATCATGAATAACTTACACCAGCTCGCCTGCGCTTTAACCGTTTTTAATTCCTGTAATGACCGGTCAATACCTTCAACTGGACCTTTAACGCCCAGAACTGTGTCCACTTTTTTTTTCTATTTCAAGCCTCGCAAAAAGTTGGGTTTGCATCTCAAAGATCTCACATTCTAGATTCATTTTTGTTTCCTCGTCTGGTTCGGAGGTGCTTATAGGCTGCTCCGCGCCTGTGTCCCTTTGCATGGTGTTCATTTTCAGAACTTTTCTTGAAGTATAACTTTTTTTCTTGCACGTTTGATATTTACTCCGTAGCACGAGACAATGTGATAAATAGCTTTACACTGAACATAACAGATAATTTGCATCACCGGGAAGCAGTGAATTGCACTCAAGGCATGTGTTATTCCAGGCAAAGCTTGGGTACGTTTGACAAAAATCACTCAGCAGCAGTGACAGACAAAAAAGTACAGAAAACCAACCAAGATACTTTTTAGAAACCTGGGAAATTACCGCGGTGCCACTACTACTGAGTGCGTATGAACTAAATTCTTGTTTGTTATCCTTTTTGTAGCAGCTTGGCGGTGGTGTTGGGGTTAGGCAATTTCGTTTGTCTCAAAGAAACTTGAAGGACGTATGGTTGACTCAACACTTGAGAGCGCCCGTGTAACGTCGGTAGAACAAAAGCTTTGGTAACTCCAGATCTGAAGCGCTTAATTCTGACGTGCCCTATTTTTAGCGCTTGTGCGCACGGCGCTGTATTTCGCTCACTTTCCGAAACCACGGGCACGCGCGTTCTGATTTATAGAGAATGCACGTTGGACTGTTGACTCGTAACCATTAAAAGTACCTAATGGGTGCTCATTTCAGTACTGCGCCGACATTTTGTTTTCAGGAGCCACACGAGGAAGCGATTCGTGCATTAGCGCAATTGTCGCTACTCAGCAAACGAACACGATCAGATCAAGGGCCGTTATGCGTCTCCATCGAACGTTCAGTTTAATTGAGGGCAAAAATTTCCTAGGCGAAACGGCTTCTTGCAATGTCCATGAAATATGGGTTACCTCTACATAACCCCTTTTCTCCGGTGCTTGACTAAAAGATTAGTAAGAGAAATAATTTTTTATTTTATTTTTATTACTATCGTAAAACGAAGGAACACCTCGTATATAATGAATAACACTACAAAGGGTTTTTTTTTGTCAATCTCAGACTTCGCCTCATTTGTAGGACTTAAGCGTCTATGTCTTAAAGGGATACTGAACCAAGGAATTTAGTGTCCATAGTAAGTGGCGCACGTTCTTCCCACAAGCCAGCAGCCGCCGGTGTGCGCGAGCACACGCAACAAAAATGACGTCAAAAACCTCCATTCACGCTTAAGAGGACAGTGAAATGCATGGGCTTCGGGCCAAAGGATTATAAAGACAAGTTTTTCATCTGCACAGTGGTGTCTGGTGTAAAAAGGTAAGCGATTAATTGGTCTAACAAGCACGCGTAGCTTTCACTTGTAGAGATGAAAAGCCTGTCTTTATTATTTCCGCCTTTGCAGCTCTGACCCAGCAGACTCCGGCTGTGTTTGAAATCTTACTCGAATGGAGCTTAGTTTCTCCGGCTGCTCACGTTACGCGACAACATAGATAGCGCAGGACGTGGGTAAGTTGCAAATGCCAAGGATACAAAGCCTTTATCCTAGAGTGAGTGAGTGGATTCAAGAATACTGCAACGGTTCTCTTTTAGGGTTAACAGGCAACCCTCCCGTCGTGAGTCGTTTATTCGTTGTAGATTGTCTACTTAGTTTGTGGCCAACAAAGCAACGTAGAGTTTCGATCATATATATGCCACTATGGCGATCCATATGATGGCGGCGAGCCAAGCGTGGCAAGGCGCACAAGCCTCCACGGCCGGCAGAACGTGGCGTTGTCGGAAGCGGTCGACAGTCGTATGTTCGCCTTCTGATATGGATCATGACTGTGCCCATGGCCACAACTTGCAGATGACGCCAGAACTGAGCGGCTCGGCGCCCTGACGCCACTGCAATTTCTTTACAAAAAGCAGACAAACTTCAGCTAGCTGTTTCATTATCCGCCACTATTCTAAATTAAGAGTTTGGGGCTCGGGGGCTGAGACTTTGTGGCTACCTACGGTATACCTCCAATCACAGCGTGGTTCGGTGACTTCAAGGCACTCTGCGCGAGGAGCGGACAACCTTGCTCGCCCTTTGGCATGTCTTTTTTTGCAAATACGATGTTAAAAAAAAAAAAAAAAAAAACGGACGAGACGCGTCCTCAAAAGGAGTCGTTACTTCCACTGCCATGTGCCTTCTTTATGTGAAGAAGGTTAAAACACTGGATATTCCTTGCTTTTTGAAAATGTATATCACGACAACCTCTTCCATGTCTTAGAATGCCAGAGGAATCCCACGATGTATTTTACCCTCGGCTTGTATTTGGTTCAGCCAGCTCATGTGTTTCGCCTACTGCACCATACACTCCAACAATGCCTGCGCGTCTACTTAACCCGCAAAACACTCGAAGGGCCAATCTCTGCGATCCACGAAATCAGCTCAGCGAATGAAGACGCGGAACATCTGTTTAGACCTCAAAATTATGTCTGCGCTGTGGCATTACGTAATTCAAGCATGACGATTTGCATTGCGTAATGCCACAGCGCAGATTTCAATTTTAGGTCTAAACCAGACTTGCGTCTATCTCAAATACTCTACTCAAGGTACTGTATCTCAAATACTTTTTGGGGTATTTTAGCATCTTGCAAATACCTTTGATGGAGAGTATTTAATACTCTATCTGAATTACAATTCCGAATATCTTGTACTCATGATCTTAAATACATTTTTGACATTCCGCCATTTTCCGAGTTTTCCGGTATGAAGTGGGGTGGGCGTGGCACGGGCAAACGTGAACATTCTTTCGAGCAACCGAATCCTGTTGCTAGCTCCGATTAGCTACGGTGACTTTAACTGAGCTCGTGAAAATATCGCTTTTTTGCCGACTGTGACTCATATTTCAGCCCTAAGTTCGTACAATGAGGGTTCTCCCCTAGCCTTCCGAAAGGCATCTTTTGTTTCTATAGACGCTTTGCAGCAGCTGTGCATGGACGCCGCCATAACTGACCTTCAGTTTTTGTTTCCTCTTATTTCGTTTATTTCACTTCATCATTACCATAGCAGGCCAGGTTATTGCCACATTAGATTCAACTGTGTCCTTTTCTAAAGCATCAGCCTTTGTAGAGGATCGTCAACTACTGTTTCAGTTGCTCGGCATCTCGGTAGGACAAGAGAAGGTCAGCCATGGCGGCTGTAATTTGGCGCGTGTGTAAAGCGTCTATAAAGTTTCTCCCAAAAAAATCCTCAAACTAAAGGTGTGGTTTTACGGAAGTAAAGATGCCACCCTGAGGCGCAAGCAGACCGGGAAACGACCTACGAGAACAATGCAGACTTAAGCGTCAAAAAATAACAAATAGAAGAAAATAAGAAGAGGACACACCAAAAAGTAGACATTTTTGTTTTTCTTTTCGTATATTTGACCCCGGTAACGCAAACCGTCGAGGTTTGGTTTTTGTGTTGTCAATCCGGCACTTATTGCTCTTGCGAACACTGCCTGTAAGCGAACATTGATAAACAGAGAACAGTACAGGAAACAAACTAGGAGCTGGGTGACCTCTCAAAATGCCAACGAAGTGTCCCCCAACGTTGAGTGCTGAACGCAACCTACTTGAAGAAGGTGCGACCACTGCCATGGCTATTATGCGGGTTCTCTTTGTTATCCATTCACTCATATCCGCGTCCCAAGTTCGTTTATAGTGAACTCCCCATATAAGGAATATGAATTGTAGTTAAACGATGCGTCTGAGGTGCGCCGCAGGATGTGATATTCAGCGATGTCACTATTGGCAAAGCGCTCTGACCCGGTTGTCACCCCCACACCTCGGTGCTTACCCAACACAAGGTACATGCCCACAGGCCTTGTGGTCATGATCGTGTCATATTTTTTAATAGAGCGCGGGGCACAGTGTAATGAAAAAATACCAACAATTAGTGAAGTGACGTCAAGTGCCGGATCTCCCCCGAGAGCAGTCGTCAGAGGATGCGAACTTGACCCACTTGGGCTTTTGTGCTGAGCTGGGCAGGGTGCATGCTGCATTGTTCATGCAGGCCGGAGTGGTAACAAAAGAGCCCCTCCTCCCCTTCACCGGAGAACACGAACTCCAGCCGAACGCTGACGCCGCGTTCGGTTAAGTCAGCCGAGCGCTGAGCCATTGTATTTGTTGCCCCCATCCATCTAGTTCTAAAGTTAACCGCTTGGGGCGCCACGGTCTGACCTCCTCCCCAATAGCTAAAGCGACCTCTTTCTTGTTGTCCCAGAAATGTTTTGTAAAAGCTATCCAGTGTTGCCATTTTAGCGTTTTTGTCGCTAGATTTAGCGATTTTTTATACATTTAGCGACGGACTTTTTTTAATTTAGCGGCTAGCGACTTTGGTGTTCAACCGTAGTCTTGTTATTTTGAACAATTTTAGAGATACTCCCGGGCTAAACCCTTCCGCTTCTCATTCCGAGTTCGCTTTGGATATAAACTCAATTTAGCGGCGCGCTTAAATAAAATGCCAACACTGCCAACACTGCAGATCATCTCTCCCGCGCCCACGCACCTACGTGCTCTCAGCCAAACGTTGCTATCCGCTAGCCAAGAGCGCAGCCGCTCTTGGCTGGCGGCTGCGCTCTTGGCTTTCGCTTTCGACTACAAACTTCCAGAAGAAGTTGTTCGGCGAGTTGGCACAGCTGAAGCCTACAAAGCTGGCAACGAACCGTCGACATTACCAATTAAATGGGTAATGTTTTATTTGGGAAACAACCATCCTAGTTGTTTTTCAGTGTAGGTTTAACCTCTCAAGATACCTGAGATGCGATTATTTGAGGGTCACTTACTTTAAAAAGGTTTAATAAGCTTTTGGGAATCAGCGAATATTTTAGCGACTTCGTGGCGAATGTAGCGCCTGTTTAGTGACTTACTGGCCCCTATTTAGCGGCGCGCGTCAAAAAAAAAAAAAAAAAAAAAAAAAAAAGATGGCGACATGGCATCTATCACTGATATTGCCACGTGCGTTGCCCAGCGAGCGCGTGGCCGAATGATTACCGCGCTTGGCTCTCGCGCGGAGTCTCCGGGTTTGATACCAGAAAGCGGACTTCTCTTTTATTTATTTATTCAACTTGACATTCTGGTAAGTTCGAGAATTTTGTCGTCTGATCGAGTTACGAATGTTCTACGCGCCGAACTTTCTACGCCGAATGTTCCAGAAACACACGCGGGTACAAAAGGTGCTCCGGGTGGCGGTCCGGAGTCAGTCTCGCCCCAGCGGTCGTTCCTGCTGTTTCGCCGACATCGACGCCTGCGACGCCTGCCTTTCTCTCTTTTGTTTTGTAAACAAGTTCGCCCCATTAAACGTTTAGTTTCTTCAGTTATTCGCCGCCTCAACATTTATCATTCGTGTCAATATTTCGCACTTTATAGTCGGACTGCATAAAATAGCCCTACGATACTTTTTTTCTTTTTTTTTTTGTGTTGTGGCGTGCTAATAAACCACTCTGGTGACCAAGATTTGCGTAGCTGCATAATTGTCGTTGTCAATGACGTCGATACAAATGAAGCAATGCGGAAGTATCTTCTAAAGTAACTGAAATACATTTCTAAGTATTTGTGCTCTACTCAAGATACCTTACAGTGAAAGTAACTTGTGTAGTATTTTAAATACTTTATAACGCAGGTATTTAGTAACTTAACTTAAATACTTTTATCGAGCATTTTGGTCTCAACGGATGTTCTGCCTCATCACTCGCTGAGCTGATTTCGTAGATCGCAGAGATTGGCTCTTTGAGTGGTTTGCGGGTAAGCAGGCGCGCAGACATTTCTTATAGTGTAGCTATATAGGACTTTTCCTTTGAAACCTGCCGCTTTGAAACCCTTCATGGGGGCGAAAATCTGGAAGGTTACCAGCGTCAAATCTTCATCGTCAAGCGTCTCACTCGCTTTCAGTTTCGGCAGCCAGGTGGTTTTCCGAGGCGTGGTGTTGAACAATCATATGGACGACTTCTCGATCCCCGGAGAGAGCAATGCGTGGGGCCTGTCTTCCTCGGAACCCAACTACATCCGGCCCGGAAAGCGCCCCATGTCGTCCACGGCACCCAGCGTCGTTGTCGACCGGAACGGGGACGTGGAGCTCGTCCTCGGAGGCTCCGGGGGTGCCAAGATCACCTCCGCCGTCGCTTGGGTGAGTTCCCATTTGACCGATGGACCATCCTCACTGTCCGGCGATTCTAGACGGCTTCTTGCTCGACCAGCCCTAAATCTTGAATAATATCGAGCGTAAAAAAACACGTGGAATCTTCATTTCGATCTCATCCAGGCCAGCCTGGATAGTAATATATTGTCGCGATAAGGTAGCAGGTAAGGAAAATAAACGTTTCCCATTCAAGGATAAAATAGAGTTTCACACAGGCCGAACAGTTTTTCTGCGTATACGAAAACGTACCATGTCATAAATCCTTATCTCTCTGTAGTGTCTCTTCACTTGTCCAGCATGTAGCAGGTGACGGTTTCCTTTCTAAATCCAGTTTCGTGTGTCTGCTGTGTTGGCGTTGTGGATACTCTTTCTTTTTATTCTCTCTTCTTGCCTCAAATTCGCCTCTTTTCACTCTCCTGTGCAAGGTAGCCAGTGGGGACAAACTTCCCGGGTTCAATTTTTGTCTTCCTATTCTTATCTTCCTTCTGTGTAAACTTTAATGTTTAAAGTACGACCCTAAACCCCAACATCAATTTCTTGACAAATCGGTAGTTGAGCCAAATGTCTCAGTACAAAACTCTTCGTCTCAATTGCTAGCCAAACTATACTTTTCATGTAAACCTCGTCAAACTATTATGTGCCGAAGAAAATGAGCCATTTGCGTTAAGGCATTTTCTCGAGCTCGTTTTGTTCACGTCTCAATCTATTGAAAATCAGGGTAAAAGATCTGAAGTACGCTTCTGATCTCTCCACACTGTTGTCGTCTTCCGCACAATGAAGTGCGGCTGCCATGGTCAGCGTAACCATGGTAACGAAGTACGTTTTTCTAGACGGGTGCGCAAACGAAGCGTCTGAAGTCAGCAACGGCAGACAACATCCTCCGAATTACTTCCGCTAAAGTGAACGCAAAAAAATACTTGTTGGGGGGCTAGTTGGTGACGAACGTCTTGAACCATGGTCAAAAGCACAAAAAAAAAAAAAGAACGAACGCAAGGAAAAAGAGAAACACAGGTGCTACTCACAACTGTATTAGGAAAAAGGAGATAGATGTAAATGTATGTGTATTGATTCAGCTATCGTCACATAGGTTACGCATACGCCGGGATACGCGCCCTTTCAACCTGTTTATGTAAATGTATAAAGACTTTTCACTTATTTCTTTCGCTCCCTCTATTTTTTATTTTTTTTGCTGCCTCTTTGTGGCCTCGTTACGGGGTCCGTGTCAGCGTTTCCCCAAAAGGGGCATGTCCCAAGCGCCATGCTAACGGATTAATGCAGCAATGGATCTTGCTGGAATTTTCTCTTTTCTGCCCTCTCTGCCTGTGAGAATACGTCGAGGCCCTTGGATACACTCATTCATATCACTCGGGAAAAGAACCACAGCCATACCACTCGTGGAGGGAACCGTCGTTTTAAATAAACAAAGACATGGCGACCCTCACACCGCTACTACGAAAACCCAGAGCGAGGAAAAACCGGCGATAGCAAAGCTGCAGTTGTGCACAGCGGCGTCCCAAAGGCGGGGGCAGACCGCCCTAGGTCACGGGGGCTGCAGCTCTGCATCGAAAGGGGGCCCCTAGTGCCGCTCACCCTGGCGACGCCAGTGCTCCCACAGTCCACCGCGCTGCAGGCTCCTAAATAACAAAACCTCCGAATAAGATGCCGTCCTCAGAGAAGCACGAGGCCCAGATTGAACACCACAATTACGTCAACGTTCGGCTCAAAGTTCCCTCAAAGCCGACGCGGTACCAATCTGTGTCCAAAAATGACTTTTTCTGATGACTCATGGCGCACTAAGGCTTTGTTATCTCGGGGGGCGCGGCGCCTCTTTCTCTCTGACTGGGCTCCAACTGCGCGCGTGACGAAAACCAAAGGGCTCGTTTGGACGACGATCCGGCCAAGTTTTTGTCAGCTACGGGGAGAGAGGCGGGAGAAGGAGGGGCTGACGCGTGCTGACGTCAGCGCTTTGTACCAATCGGAGTGCCGTCACCCTCTTGTCCTCCTTATCTTTCGGTCCCTGGAACTGACCAACGAAAGACCAGGTATTCGTCAAAGCGTTCTAATGCTAACCCAATAAAAGACATCTCGGTAGTGAAACCCTCTCTTCCTGATAACGCGCGCCTCTTGCAGTTCGGGTGCTTCCTTCCTTATACCTAGGGTGCCTACATGTTCCCGCCGCTCCGCTGTGAAACATGTAGGCACCCTACTTATACCTAGAATCTTAGTATCACCGAAGCGTGGCTGTCATTTGCATTCTCTATTGTGCGTGGACGAATGTGCTCTATCATTTGTTTATAAATTTTGGGCATGCTCCCTCGAACAGCAATATCTTCCCCTTTGCCCAAAGTAAGACAGGGAGGTTCCGTAGACCGCCCTTCCCCCTCCGCTAAGCCTTCCGCGACCAAAGAGCCGATACTGCGCCTGCCCGCTGATGGCCTTGATTGCAGAGTTCCGGAGATCGTAGCGGGTTGCGGACAGCGTTGCGGGACGGCGAAACACATCTACAAAAACTCCCTATTTTTCACACGTTACGGGGATTTGATACACAAAGAAAACCCGTGCCGCATTCGATTTACGGCTTGGAGTGCTTCATACCACATCCTCGCTCGCTTTTGCTTTCACTAGGGTGCCTACACGGAGCGGCGGGAACATGTAGGCACCCTAGCTTTCACTGGCAATTCGAGGGCAAGGTTGGCCGAGGTTCTTTGGCGCTCGTTCATCCGGGGCGGCGCCTACCAAAGTCGGACGCGCGGCTGTGCAGGTCGCTGCTAATGGGGCATTAAATGCCCGTACGCACATTCGCGTTTGAACGCGTTTGAGTGCGTAGCAGCGTCCTTGCGGCCAGGAGCGGTCGCTTGCGCTATGACGCGCGCCGTCCCACAGCGCTCGGTAGCGCGACGCCAAGAGACTCACTCGTCCAAGTTTCCAAAGCGACCAATCAGAAGCCGAGAGAGGAAAGGAGGGTGAGGTGGTCGCTCGCGCCACTCGATGATGCGTATCCGGTTCTCCGTTCGCGGAACCTGCTTTTCCGTTTCGGAAAGCGGTGGGGAACGAGCGAGCAACTTTTTCGAAGACTGCGATGGTTCAAGCCAGATCGAATCTTGGGGAAGCCAGCAGGATTGTCCCAAGATCGACCGCTTCGACGCCGTCGCCGGTACCCACCCTCTTGCCGTGAATTTCGCTCGCTATGGTGAGCCGCTATTGACGATAGCGCGTTGTTATTGGCTCTTGGCCGCGCTTGACTGCGCGCAAACGCGACTGTGCGTACAAGCATGGTGAAAGCGCTCTTTGCAAAGCTAGGCGTCCGCTTGCAACTATGGAACGCGCCGCGCTCAAACGCAAATGTCCGTATGGGCCTTTACACCAGCGAAAACAATTTTTGTCGTTGAAGCGGATTCGGCACCAGCAGAAACCGAATGTGTATCTATCTGTTTCTGCCACCGGCTGCGGTTTCCTCGTTTGCTCTCGGGGCGTCGCGTTTGCGAGAAGTCGCGAGATTTCTTGTCGTCTGCTGCACTCGGCAACTCTCGGCAAGCTCTCGGAGCCGCTCGTAGTACGTCCGGTCAATGATTCGGTACAAGTAGGCTTAACGTTGTTTACGCTGTATCGTGCGCCGCCGCGCTCGCTTTGCCACACGGGAAGAACCGCGCCAACATGGTCAAGTTCTATTTCAAAGAAGAGGAGACTACGACGATTCGGTGTCTCCTACTTGCTCTGTAGCAGGACATGCACGCAAACCAAAGAAGCAGTGGTGCACCGACGTCGGCGGCGCTTCGCCCCTTCCCCTCGAATGAACGAGCGAAGTTTTGTTACCAGTCTACTCTCCTCGCACAAATAGCTAACCACGTTTGGGGGTTCCCGCTGGTGTCCTTTCGTTCGTTTGTGTTTCCACTGTTGATTCTTGTGTTCTAGAGGCTGTGGTGTTTGGATATTGTGTTTCCTTAAAGCCGGTCGTAGTTTGAATGGTGTCGGACTACTGCGTGTCGGACGCAGTCGCTCTTCGCAAAGCAATACTGTAATGTTTTATGTAGAACTCAAATAACCGCCACACAGATCACCTTTTGTCGTAAGGTAAGTAAGTTTTATTGCTTGCGTAGAATTTTCTCGAAGAGGCGACTGGAATCGATACGTAGACACGGGCGATCATGTTAGCAATGCGATCACGCCAAAACTTCCAAGATCAATCACGACCATTCATTGCCCGTGCGCCCTATACTTGATATGTAGCGGAACACCAACAAAGCAGCTGTGCCGTAGGCGGTGGTGATTCATCCATGCCGCGAAAAAAATGAGCGCCCCCGATTCCTCCTTCGTCGTCCTGGCATCCTGGCACGTGAGTGTTTATCGAGCCGTGAGCGATGACAAATGAACAGGATGGACCGGAAGAACGCACCGCTCAACGCAACGTCCAGCAAACACTGATTGGCTCGCGTCAGGAAACACGCAACTCTGGGGGGGTCTAAGATTGCTCTCGGGACGCTGCGAAGAATACGTTGGCGATGAGCGGAATGCGCCATTCGAGGCGAAAATACGCTCATCGCCGAGGAGTATACGCCCTCGGAATCACGAGTGGAGGTAGGCCATAAGACTGGGAAACGGCCACATCGCGAACCCTTCGCGGTTTCAACGAGGATTGCTGCACGCTCGGACTTGAGACTTTAAGGGGATACTGAATTGAACAATTTCGTGTCCATGATAAGCGGCGCACGTTCTTTCCGCGAGCCAGCAGCCGCCGTTGTGCGCGAACACATACAACGAAATTGGCGTCATTGACCTCCATTCACGCTTAAGATGACAGTGAAAAAGGATAATCAAGACGACCTTTTCATCACACAAGTGAAAGCTATGTGCTAGTTTGACCAGACCCCACTATGGATATGAAAAGTTTGTATTTATTCTCCTTTCGCCTGGAGCCCACATATTATTTCACTGTCATCTTAAGCGTGAGCTATGACGTCAACTTAGTTGCGTGTGCTCGCGCCCACCGG